TAAAACAATATGCACGTATAAAGATACATAGAAATAGGAAACGTTACATGTTAATTTGATACAAATCATATTCTTTTTAATATATGTTATATAGGCTCGCCCGCCCCCGAACACTATGGATTTTACCGGCGAAGAACCGCCAAAACGGCAGAAAAGAAGATACAAGCGTTTCTTGGATCCAGCTTATCAAGAACATGATGTATCTGCCAAAACACATGATTTGTGGGTGAAGAGATCAGCATCGCGGCAAATGAATACAACAAACAGTCCGAGTAAGTATTGAATGATATATTTAGAGTATATATGTATGCAGGTTAAATACGTACGTAGATAAAAAAAGATTTTGTTGATAAAATGTCATATAAGAACACATACGGGATAAAACAGTTATTGTAATAAGTTGTACAAATGTTTATATATTATTATCCTTCGGTTTGAACAAAAGTTCTTTTAGTGCATTCGTTCTATATGAAATTGTACAATAATCACATTGTTAAACATGAAAATATATAGTTATAGTATATGGGTCATTAATGTAGTAGTAATAAGGCCGCATTACGGTTCTGTATATTTTGAAATTCTTAATACCACTTTCCAAAATTCAAAATTGTTTCCCAACGTTTACTGCAAATGCAAGTTTTAGTTATTTATTGATCTTAATTCAAATGATGATGACCAGACTTTTTAATTGAAAATTACTATTAAAAACTGTACAATAGGCCACAATGTACTGTAAAAACTTTTCAATATAGATCCATGTAATGTACCTGAACAATGCAAGGTATATTGAATTCAGACTTTATACATTTATTGATATGTTCGAAGTTTGTAAAAAATTTTTTTTAAACAAACCTCGAACATTATCTGAATACCTCAAATATAAAATTATTCAAACACCTCATATGCCCGACTGAATAAAATTATTGTACGCTGTATATATAGATTGTGCGGGTCACTACATAAAAGCGAGAAGGAAAAGTAAATATTAACAATAGGAATAAGAACGACTTCGTAAACGATTAGTCTCCAGTTACTTCAAATCGTACAAAATTAGTTTCGGTATTCGTTTTATTCATTACATTTATTTATTATTATTCTTATTTATTTAATAGAAGCCCCTAAGGAGGACACCCGACAATGGATGTAAACTTTGGGCAGGAGATTCTTTTTAATAAAAATAATTTAAAAAAAAAACAACCGTAGTGGCCTTTTGTTACTACACTTATAATAACTGGTTCATATTCTATTAGCATTATATGGGTTATTGTAGCTCAATTAAGATGGCAAGATTTGGCCTTTTTGTGAAAGACCATTCTTTCAATCAACGAGATTGTTTTGAAATAAAATATACACCAAAAAAGAGACACGACATTTTTTATAGGTCCACAATTTTGTTTACATTGTTACTAATTTTTTAATTTTGACGAAAAATGAGTGCACTTATAATTTTAACATTTAATATTTACGCTTCTAATTACCTAGCACAGTGAGTAAAAACTCGTTTTAACGCTGGAATAAAAACGTTTGAAAAAGTAATGGAAATTTTAAAGAATGTACTTTTTTCTATAAAAAAAAATTTAAACAAATTTGTACACGTAAATAAATCTAAACAAATTAATAAAAATCAAAATTAAACTTTATCCTGGGAACAATATTTTTAAATACATAATTATTATTACAATTAAACTGTATTATTAAAAAAAAATAAATAAATAAAAATAACAATACGTTGCAAACACATTTATTATTATATTGTTGATATATTATTAACAATAATACAATTTTACTTTCTTAATTCATAAGCATTACTTTCTCAAACCTCTTATTATTATATCTTTCAAATGTATTTGTACTCGCTGCGATAATGAAAACCGTAGATATTACATATTACATTTTAAAGTTATATAGTGCGCTTATTTTTCGTTAAAATGAATAAATCAGTAACATTGTAAAAAAATATATGTTGAACCTATAAACAACACTTTATTCTTTTTTTGGTGCATATTTTATGTCAAAAACATTTCAATCCGTGTAAAAAATAGTTTTTTTTTGGTCAGCCGATTTCAGCTGGAATGACCCGTATGTACTTTTGGCTGAAGTAAAAATAAGATATAATTCTTATATCTAATGTCAAAGAAAAAAAAATATATATATACTCTTCAAATGTATGTATGTACATGATTCACGCAAAAACGATACGATCCCCTATTCTCAAACTATATTTTTCTATAAAAGTCACAGCAGCTGTTACTGTTAAAAACGAATAGATAGAAAAACAACGAATAGAAATAAAACCAAAAGAATAAAAAATCTTCGATATTCCGTATTGCAGACAGAATGGGCAGATTGCAAGCAGAAACCGATAAAGACTCAGTCCGCTTCTGATGTTGTTCCTATCCGTCATGTTTAAGAACAAATATAAAATTATTTACATTACTACGAATTAAAACCAGTGTGATATTTTCAGGTGGAAGTATAGAAAATCCAGAAGAGGCGAGCGAATCCAATGTGGCAGATAATGATGACACTTCATTGGAATCAGGCTCGTTGGTTAATGCTACATCAAGCGACCGCGACGACATGGACGTCGATGTAGGTCTACACGACAGTAGAAGTATTTCGAATGCATCCGAAAGCAGTTCTATATCTGACGGTGAAAATAATGTGGATACTTCCGAGGAATCCGAGGACGAGGATATTCTACATGACAGGAATAACTGCGACGACGATCCGATAATGTTCGAAGTTTCTCAACTGAAAGAGTCTGAAGTTATGGAAATGATTACAGGGATTTGCGGTTTAATACGCCTTATGAAAGGCTATTAATTAAGAAAGGCTATTGTTGACTTCACAAAATGTCTTGCAGGACCGGGCTACACGAATTGGCAGATAACAAAATATAATGTTAAGAAAAAGTATGATCCACCTGAAACTGTAATAAGTTATACATTTTTTTGCTCAGCATGCAAATGTCCTTTATTAAGACCAGTGCAGAATAAGGAATTCGCAAACGAAACTGCAATCTGCCGAAAGTGTAACCAACAGAACCATTTATCTATGCGATCGGAAAACAAATTTGTGTATATAGTTTTAGAATTCCAGTTGAAATCATTATTGACGAATACACACATCGAGGAAAGTATAATGAAATTTATACACCAGCGCAATGCCCGTCAAAATGCTGATTATAATGGCGGATCAATAAGCGATATATCGGACAGCGAGCTGTATAGACAGTTGAATACGAAATATTCCAACGAAGGATATTATCATGAGTACCTTCTCACGTACAACTTCAATACAGATGGTATGCTGATTTTCAACAGTTCGAAACGAAGTTGTTGGCCGATTCTATTGTATGTCAATGAACTTCCCCCAAAAGAACGATTCAAGCATGTTCTCTTAGGGCCAAAGCACATATGACAGTCGTAGTCGTGGACATAAGTAACGCACAAGCTTTGGCGTATCTTGATTTGTCAGGTCGGGGACTACGACCGTCGTATATCGCTACGCCATGTTATGTGCTTTGGCCCTTAGTTGCGTTGTGGGTAGAAGATAAGGAACCTACGCCAAGCATGATGAATACGTTTCTGCAACAATTCGTCCAAGGGACATTAAAATTATTCAGAGAAGGAATTATGATTAAACATGGAGAAAGGCAAAGAATATTCAAATTTGCACCGTTGTGTTGTGCGGTTGACTCAGTGACACGGCCTGTTGTACAAAATCGGCTGCAGTACAATGGCTACCATGGTTGTTCCTGGTGTTACGCGAATGGCACATATTTGCGCGGAACCGTGCGATATTTATTCCGTGAAGACGCTGAACTTCGAAGCCACGAAAGCCATTTGAAAGACATAGCAGACGCTCAATTACTCAGTAAAATCATCAGGGGTGTAAAAGGAGACTCTATTATATTTAAACTACCGAAATTCAATGCAGTGTGGGGATTTGCGTACGACTTCATGCACGGAACATTGCTAGGAGTCCAGAAACAAATCGCAGAAAGTAGTTATAATCAAGGTTCACCAATTTATCTCAACAAACTTCAACGAACAGAATTGAATGCCCGTTTAATTAGCATTAAACCGATCAAAAAAATTCAGCGTCTACCAAGACCTCTGACTGACAGGTGTAAATGGAAGGCTTCTGAGTGGCTTTCTTGGACATTATTTTATTGTTTACCTTGCTACTATGGCATAATACGAAATGACGTCCATGAACATCTCGCTCTGTCGGTTAATGCCCTATTTCGACTTCTTCAGGATAATGTCACCGACGAAGAATCAAAACAATGCGAAATTGATCTTTTTCGATTCGTCGCAGATTTTGAAATTTTATATGGTGAAGAGTGCGTAACGCTTAATATCCACGCATTGTTGCATATAGTACAATCTGTGAGAATGTGTGGTCCATTATGGGCCACTTCAACATTTAGTTTTGAAAGTACGAACTTCCACCTAAAGCAACAAGTGAGTGGGCCAAAGGGCGTAGAAGCACAAGTTTGCACAAAATATCTGCAGAAAAATTTGTGGAAGTGTCGAACAAATAGTGGAGGCAAATTGGAAGTTTGTAGGCAATATTGCAACAATTTATTCGCCGCACATAAGCATACAGGCACAATTACTGTTGGAGAAACAGTCCTCTTAGGCATTGGTCGACAAACCGCCAATGGAATTCGATACGAACGGTGTATTTGCAAAGGTGATTACTATCACAGCAGCACCTATAGACCAAATAAAAAGACAAATGATTCTGCCGTGCAAATCAACACTGACGAATGCGCCGAAATAACGGCCGTATGTACTTCTGATCGGTGATGAATGTTATTTCGAAATCCGTAAAATAATAACGGAGAATGCATTTAATGTACCTCACATTTTCAGGGTACATGGTTACAGCGAAAATACGATTATTATTCCGATATGTAATGTAAAAAAAATGATGTTTGTTACGCACGCAGAGGGTACGTATGTATGCTGTATCCCTCAGATATTTTACATGTGACGGCCATATAGGGCACAAATTTTATTTCTACTCAAAGTTAAGCTCTAAGTAATATTATATAGTTGTATATAATGAAATAAATATAAAATTTACCTGACCGACTGACTTTATATGCTTGACTATACTTTATTTACAAAACGTATTTACCATTTTTAAAATAAAATGATTTTTCATAAAAGTATCTAAAGCCGGATGTTAATGATATACAGTGGGAAATGTCCCACCTTATTATCACACTTCGATTTTAAAAACAATTGTGCTCACATGTGACAACATATGTAAAAAATATATGAACTTTTTGCACAACGTGGTTTAAAACTATAGTGAAGTGCTACGCTACTTCAATTGTATTGCGCGCCTCTTCCTCGAGATCATATGGTAGTAGCCCCTACTATGTACCGATGTACCACAGTTTTAAAGTTCTAAAACTTTCCGCTAGGGTTAGCTTCCCGTTCCGTTGGTCATTCTTTTACTTTGTGCCGATTAAGCCACACGCGTGTTTACGAGATTCCGAAGAAAATAGAAATAAGGAAAGTTAGAGACGGTTCTTCGAGTTCGGAAGACGGCGAGGAGGTACAGAAAGGAAACGATAGCGACGGTGAGGTAGCGTTCGTCGTTCTCATATGTGTACGGTGTCACTTACATACGTCACATATGTGTACGGTGCGAGGTTATGTGCCGAGTGACGACGAACGACGGCTACACGAAGCCGGACTGTTGTCGTCGTGACAATGGTTGACGCTGCACTTCCACGGCGTTTACGTACGTTCGTGGGAAACAGGTGAAGTGAAGGGAAGCGCGTCGTTGTTGCGAGTAATCGCGAGCACCGCGCGCGAGGTATCCTCTCGTCGTCGCCGTCGCCGCTGTGTCGTGATCATCACGACCATTACGGTCGTGCTCGTGGCTCACCGTCGTCATCCTCGGTGCCAAGGAGGCACCTGACGGTTAGACGAAAGTAACCGAGCGAGACGCAGCAGCAAGATATAAAGGTGTCTATATCGACTATATGTCAACGCAGTAATGCGTAAAGGAAGGTTTCAGGTGTTTTGGTCCAACCAATTCACCTTGAGAATGCAAATTGAGAAACTTCAATTGTGCATAACCTCATTGCGGAATGTCCTACGATAGCCTAACCATCGGGCGATAGTGACTTCAAAAAGGTAAGACGCATAGGCGAGATTCAGGTGTCTTGGTCCAACCAATTCGCCTTGAGAATGCAAATTGAAAAATTTCAATTGTGCACATAATCTCGCCGCGTAACGTCCTCCCAGCTAGCAAGTTGGGTCGGGGCGGTAGTGATCTTAAAATGGTAAGATGCATAAGCGAGATTCAGGTGTTTTGGTCCAACCAATTCGCCTTGAGAATGCAAATTAAAAATTTTAATTGTGCACATAACCTTGCCACGTAACGTTCTTTCAACCATCAAGCCCGTTCGAAGCGACTTTAAAAATGGGGTAAGATGCATAGGCGAGATTCAGGCGTCTTGGTCCAACCAATTCGACTTGAGAATACAAATTGAATTTCAATTGTGCACAAAACCTCACCGCGTAACGTCCTCTCAGCTATCAAGCCTGTTCGGGACTGTACTGACTGCAGCGACTTTAAAAAAGGGATTTAGTCTTGGTCTAACCAATTCGACTTGAGAAGGCAAATTGAGGAACTTCAATTGTGCACATATAATACGCATATGCAAAGCCAGGTGTTTTGGTCCAACCAATTCACCTTGGAAATGTGTGATTGATAAAATTCAATTGCATACATAACCTTTACTCATAACATCTTGTTTCAGAATATCATCAGAAAGGTAAATGATTTCGACCAGACTGCCAATCGACAACTATTGACTAAGGATGGTATCTAAAATTTTTTAGAAATTATTGCGGAAAATATTATCCGTAAATATATTGGTTCAACCAATATATTAAAAAACAATCCGAGTATAACTCGCCTTGAAACTATTAGAAAGACTATTTTTCCTTGAATACGAATATCCTTACAGGCGATATTATGATGCCAATAGGAAAAGCTGTAGTCGTTATTATTTGGAAGGTCTTTCTTACGACAAGGATTTCTTAAAAACTAGTGCGTATCTGTTTCTTAGTACGTTTAGCAGCGATCCTTAAGATGAGGTTTAAAAAGACGCTTGTAAATCTGCTTAGCGTCGAGACGGTAAGAGTCGTGATACGAGGAGTCGCTCTCCTGTTTGATCGTAGATATGTTCAGAGATTGCATTTTGCCTGATAGAATCCTAAAACCAGCGGGTTACAAAGATCTTGTAGTCAGGCGGGAAGACGTCTTTGTAAAAGATCTTCCCTTGGAGGAGCGAAAGGTCCTGCTAAAAAAGTTATTCAGGTGTCTTGGTCCAACTAATTCGCCTTGAAAATGCAAATTAAAAAATTCCTCCGGAAAACTTATGCGGTAATAAATCCATTAAATATAAATTTGGAGGTTAAATCTGTTTTAGACAGCACTATTGTAAGAGGACGAGCGTATGGTTCAAAAACCAAAATTGTGCGGCAATCAATGAAGCACAGAACGACTGCTGCCATTGCTGGAATTGCAAGGGCCTCGAGTTCTAGAAACTCGCAAGGCTGTCTCGCCGAAATCGACAGAAGCCATACGGTCAATCGAAGGCGAGCGAGCAGAGGCAGATGTACAGTCAATAACAGAACTTGTCCTCTCAAAATCACATTACCGGTACGTTACCGGTTGGAAGCCGGAACAAGCGCCTACGAAAAGAAATTAGTTGTAAGTAATGTTGCCAATAGACTGGCACAGCCTAAATGTCAATGAGACAATTCATATATACGAAAAAACCGCAATAGCCGAGCAGGTAAAGATACAGATTCGTAACAAATAGTACAGCTATCGAGAAAGCAGGCCATTCCGAAGTATCAGCCAGTTTCAAATTAATTATTTCGAGAATTATCTTATTCCCAAACCTAATAAATTTTTTACAGGTTAATCCTTAATCTGAAAAAGCTTTATAAGTTATAGCTTAATAAATAAGTTACCATTATGTTGAGCATCTTAAATAAAAGACAGAAAAAAGGTCAAACAAATTCTGGCTAAAGGATAATTCCTGGCGTCGATTGATTTGAAGGACGCATATTAATTAATTCACATTGCTGATTCAGACAATATAAGTACTTGAGAATTTTGTTGAAGGTGCTCTTTATGAGCTAAAGTACCCGTTTTTGTGCAAAACACGGCTTCGTACACTAAAAAAAAAAAAATAAAAAAAAAAAAGAAAAAAAAAACTATGAAGCCAATCTCTTACCTAAGAGAATTGGGCTACTTATCCGTTAAATAATTAATTGGATGGCTTTCTTCTTCTAGATGAGACATATACGGTATGTTTGAGAAACATACAAGAAACATGCAGTTTCTGGAATCACTATGATTCATAATGAGTGAGAAAAGGAGA